GACCGGGAGCGCCGGGTGCGGGCAGGCTCGGCCTCCCGCACCTCGCCTAGCCGGGCGAATGCGCTGACATGGGCAACGCTCTGCCCCAGCCTTTGCTTGGCTGACTTCCTCTGGCCTTCCTCCCTATCCCCCAGCCTTTCGAAGGCGGAGTTTCGGGAGGTCGCTGGCCGGATGTTTTTTCCTTTCTTCTTCTTGTGGGACCTCGAGATGTCCCACTCTCCGTCATCGCTCTCAATTGAGACGCAATGACCATCAGGAGTGATTTGCGGATCCGTAGCTTGCGGGGGACGCGACGGCCCTGCAGCGTTAAGTGCACCGGCCAAGTTGACAGGGGCCATGGTGCTGACCAGCTGGGGCTGGAAAGGTGATGGCTGCGGCATCGGCGTCTGGAACGACGTCACCGCCATCGGAGCTTGTAGGGGCATGGTCCCCGTGCCTGGAAGGGCGAATGGGAACATACCAGGGAGGAAAGGCATCCCCCCGTTCTGTTGGCACATGGCCATGACCTGGCCAAAGCCCTGGATGGCTTGTAGGTTGGTTGGGTCATTCATGAACTGAGTCATGCTTGGTGGGAACGTTACCCTCGGTCCAGCGGAAGGGACGGGGGTCACGAAGGGACTGATCACGCTGGCCGTCGGAACTGAGTCATGCTTGGTGGCCTGCACCTGAGCGGAAGTAGCGTTGATTTGTTGGCTGGAAGACATTTCGAGTGGTGTTCTGGAGGGTAGGTTTGTGTTCAGGAGAAGAAACCTTAACGGTCCCACGGGTGGCGCCAAAAATGATGGTGTAAATTACTTGACCGGTCAAACTATACTAGACCGGGTCTAGAATAGTTCGCTTGATTTGGCAAAGTAAGAAAGGTAAAAACACGCAAAGTGACCGGTAGGACTTTAGGTGGAACACCTGTAGCCCAATTTATATTATAACGGAGAATGCACGGGTGCTTTTACAAAGGAGTTTAGAGAGTGAAATTCGGATCCCCTTATTCGAGAGTTACAAGAGGTATATATACTAGGCTGGGGAGCAGGACCACGTGCGCCCACGTGGGAGCATGCTGCTGGCGTGGTGTGAAGTGACTGGCTCTGCCTTGTCATCTTGCGCGGCGGGTGGCACCCTTGTCGCGTTCTGGTTTGGAAATATTCCCTCAGCATCCCTGCAATTCCAAACACTACAGTCCAAGTCC